CACCCCATAATGATCACTCCGACAAACGAAGCCGTGTAATAAACGCACACAAGGGATAAATCGAACAGGGCTGGGCTGTTTAGTCAACGACCAGGACCGTTTAGTAAACATCTATTCTCGGGTCCGGGTGGTTTTTCCTCCCTTGAGGGTGGGTCGCGTGTTGGGTTTGGGTGGATCGCGGGGTGGGTTGTGGGTGGGTCGCGGATGGGTCGCGACTGGGTCGCGGGGTGGGTCGCGGGTGGGTCGCGGGGTGGGTCGCGGGTGGGTCGCGGGTGGGTCGCGGGTGGGTCGCGGGGCGGGTCGCGGGTGGGTCGCGGGTGGGACGACGACAACAACCAACAACAACACCAACACCAACACCAACAGCAACAACATCAACAACAACAGCAACAACAACATCAACATCAACATCAACATCAACATCAACATCAACACCAACATCAACATCAATATGAACGTCAACATCAACATCAACATCAACATCACCATCAACATCAATATCAACAACAGCAGCAACATCAACAACAACAACACCAACACCAATACCAACACCAACACCAACACCAACACCACCAACACCACCAACACCACGAACAACAACAGCAACACCAACACCAATAATCGTTTTACCCTCATGCGCGATGTTTCCACACGAAGCATGTGACCATCATGATAACCATCCACATCATGGGGGACTGTTGTTCTTTAGCGGGGTCCGTTATTCCCATTCCCGGATCTCCCGCCCAATGAGGTCTTGCAAACACCCTCTTTTTTTTTCTCATTCTTTTCTTTTTTTTTTCTTCTTATTGTTCTTTTTCTTTTCCTATTCTTTTTTCATTTTTTTTTTTTTTTTTATTTTTTTATCTTCTTTTTTTTTTTTTTTTTTTTTCTTCGTTTTTTTTATTTTTTCCTTTTTTTTTCTTTTTTTTTTTTTCTTTGTCTTTTTCTTACTTTTCTTTTCTTTCTCTTTCTTTTTTTTTTTTTTTTGTTTTGGCTTTTTTTCCTTTCCTGTTCTTTTTTCTTTTTTGTTCTGTTTTTTTTTTTTTTTTCTTTTCTTTTTTCCTTTTTTTTTCTTCCTTTTTTTTTTTTTTTTTGGAAAATGAGTCCGTCACCCCTGAACCCTTTCTCTTGCTCGGTTTTGGTAACGCCCCTCCGAGGAAATTCATCATATCCCGCCTCGGAAACACATGCCCGCGCCTTGCTGCGCCGATGCGAGACCGCCAGTGGAACCCCAGCGAAGGGTAAAGCACAAGGAAGTATCGAACGACAGGATTGCTTTGGTGGGCATGGGGGCTGTCGGCGGTGAGGCAAGGACTTGGCCCTGAATAGACGGAGGAAGTCTCGAGCAGGGCTGCTGTTGTTGCTGGGAGCGGCGCCAGTGCTGAAGAGAGTAGGGCGCTAGTCCAGCGTAAAGCAAATCGAAGTCTCGAGCGGGAGCGCTGGTTTTGTTGGGACGACGGCGTTCGGTGGCGAGGAGGAACACCGCCTTGAGTAAGAAAGGAGGAAGCATCGAACGGGAGCTGTGGTTTTGTCGGGACGGGGGCTGTCGGCGGCGAGGAACAGCACCGTCCCGAGGAACAAGAGAGGAAATCTCGAGCGGGAGCGTTGTTGTTGCTGGGAGCGGCGCCAATTCAAAAGAGTTGGGCGCCAGTCCAGCGTAAAACGGAAAGAAGTCTCGGGCGGGAGCGCTGGTTTTGTCGGGGCGGCGGTTTTCGGCGGCGAGGAGGAGCACTGCCTTGAGTACAAAAGGGAGGAAGCCTCGAGCGGGAGCGTTGTGTTTGCTGGGGGCGGCGCCGATGAGAGAAAGACTAGCGCGCCAGTCCAAGGTAAAACGGGTGGAAGTCTCGAGCGGGATCGCTGGTTTTGTTAGGACGGCGGCTTTCGGCGGCGAGCAAGAACACCAGCCCTGAGCAAAAGAAAAGAGGAAATCTCGAGCTGGAGTGTTGATGTCGTTGGGGGGCCGGTTTTGGCGGTCCCCCAAAACGCTCGAGAGCGTGAGCCTCGTTTTCAATGAAAATGTAGCCGGCGCCTCGGTGAGAGCGCCAGGGCGCCTGTATGGGGTCCAACAATAATAATTGCTTGGTAATTTACATCCAACAGCAACGCAACAAACAGATTTCTCATCACGAATTCCTTATTCAGCCACGCACGCAGGGACAATGAATGACCGTTCGGCCCCCTCATTCAGATATATATATATATATATATATATACATCTATAGATCCCATATTTTTATTATAAGCCCAGGCGGGGGGACCCCCCCAAAAAAAACCAGACTCCCGGGATTTGGGGCTTTGGTGGACGGGCCTCGAAGCGGCCCCCCGGGCCTCGCAGGGCGTTTTGCCAAGCCTTCCCAGCACACCTAGGGCGATCAGGGGGGTCATCGGAGAAGTTCCAGAGACCCCCAAGACAGCACAGGAGCGCTCCAAGAGTGACCGACGTGACCTCAAGATGGCTCAAGAGGCCTCCAGGACGGCCCCAAAGGCTTCAAAAAGCCTCCAAGAGCACTCCCAAGAAGGCCCCAAGAGGCAAACATCATTGATTTTCTCTGGTTTTTGGTGAACTTTGGGGTTCTCCTCCTTTTGGCTTCCCGACGCTCCAATACGGCAGTCTTCTGGGCGTCCGAAGCCGCCTGGGAGGCTCCCAAATCGCCCCACAACCATCCGAAAGGGCTTCCAGGCAGTCCAAGAGAGCCCCAAAACGGCACAACAGGGGTCAAACATGGCCCTAAGAGAGCCCCATGGCGGCCCAAGACGGCCCCAAGACACCCTCCGAAGCATTCCACATCGTGACCCGGTTGTTCAGGGAGACCGCGGTTGGAGGCAGGGTGGCCCGAGGAAGCCCCCAGAACCTCCAGAACACGTCCAGGAGGCCTCCAGAAGGCTTTAAGAAAGCCTGAAACGTTTGTGAGGTCCCCAGAGGCTCTCCAAGGAGGAGCCTCCGCAAACAGAGCTGAGGAGGATGGGGAAAATGCGCAGGGCATGGCGAGAACGAGGAAAAAGAAGCATGGAGGAAGGATCACGAATAAACATCATTTTAGCGGCGATGCTGGAAAAGGCAATAAGGACTTATCGCTAAAATGTCGGCTTGACCTTCCTGCCATTCCGCCTGCATACCAAACTTCAAGGACCAAGGTGCATGGTGCGAAGCGCCACTGCAGTCTATGTATGTATGTATGTATGTATGTATGCATGTATGTATGTATGTATGTATGTATGTATGTATGTATGTATGTATGTATGTAGATACGTATGTACGTATGTACGTATGTACGTATGTACGTATGTGCGTATGTGCGTATGTATGTATGTACGTATGTACGTATGCACGTATGCATGCATGCATGCATGCATGCATGCATGCATGCATGCATGTATGTATGTATGTATGTTATGGTATGTTATGTTATGTTATGGTATGGTATGCTATGTTATGTTATGTATGTATGTATGCATGTATGTATGTATGCATGTATGTATGTATGTGTGTATGTATGTATGTATGTATGTATGTATGTATGTATGTATGTATGAACGAATGTATGTATGTATGTATGTATGTATGTATGTATGTATGTATGTATGTATGTATGTATGTATGTATGTATGTATGTATGTGTATATATATATACACATGTATGTATGGGTAGGGGTCCCAGGGCCCCCCAAAGTGCATAGATTTATCTTCTGGCCGTTTCGGGCCCGGCGGGGGGCGCCACAAACGCCAAAGGGGGAGGGCGCCAACATGGCCCAATAGCGCTCCAAGAGAGCCCAAAACACCACAGGAGCGTTTCAAAATTGGTCCAACATGGCTTGAAGACAGCCCAGGAGGGCTTCAAGACGGCCAGGATGCCCTCAAAAGGATTCCCACGAGGCACTCAGGAGGCGAAACAAGTTGGTTTTCTCGAGGGTTTTTGAATGGTTTTCGTGTTCTTGCTGTTTCGTGCTTCCGACGGTCCAAGACAGCCCACGAGGTCCCAGAACTCAGCTCAAGGCGGCCCAAGAGGCACCCAAAGAGGGCGCCACGACGGCGCAAGAGTCCCAAGACGGCCCAAGAGTGCCCCAAAACGGCCCAAGAGGCGCCCAAGATCCCAAGAGGGCCCCAAGACGGCCCCAAGAGGGGCCCAAGAGGGGGAACACGAACCGACAAATCGAGCCTTCGCCCCAAGAGGCCTCCAGGAGGCCCCCAACAGAGCCCAAGAGGCCCCACAGGGGCCCAAAAAGACGCCCCACAAGCACCCCAAACGGCCCCCAAGAGGCCTCCAAAACTGCCTTCAAGAGGCTCCTGTGAAGCCTCCCGCGAATTCCAAACGATTTTCCAAGAGGCCTCTAACCCTCAACCCAGGCACGGTGTCGTCATGGGCCGAAGGCCGTTAACGAGAACGTGAGCCGAGAACCCAAGATCTTCGCCCCAGGAGACCCCTGGGAGGGGTCAAGAGGTCACCAAGAAGCTTGGCGACAGATCACCGGTCGACCGGTCGATGAGAGCGGAGGGGGAGAAATGAGGAAGAGGCAGGAGGAAGCAGATAATGTTGACCTCATTATTCACGACCGCCTTGTTATCTCAATGCGGTCAGTTCTCGACCAGCTAGAACCTAAGCGAGCGCGAAGCGCGCGCGCGATGGTTCTAGTATAATATAAACAAAGACAAATACGCTTCCCCACACCTCCGGAGCATCTAGGGGGCTCCGGGTACCGCGCCCTTGGGCCTCCCGGGGAGGCCCCTAAACCCTCCAGGACGGCCCGCAAAGGGCCCCAGAACGCAAGAAAAACAGCCCAAGACGCTGTCAAGCAGTCCAGGAAATCCTTCCGACGGCTTCCCAGGCTCCCAGGATCGTCGAAGACTTAACCAAAAGGCCTCCAAGAGGCCCCAAAGACCTCCGAGAGGGGCCCCGCGAGGGCCCGAAGAGCCCCAAATCCTTAATTGTCAATTCGTTTTTTCAAGGTTTTTGGCCTTTTCGCGTTTTCGAGCTTCCAAGAGACCGCCCAGGCTGGTCCGTAGCCATTTGGGCTCAAGGGCTCCCGGAGGCACCCGATGGGCGGCGGCGGCGCGGGCGAGGCCGGCGGGGCCGCGGCATGGCGCCTGCGAGAAACGGTGGTGAGATCCTCAGGCTTCCGGGTGTGATCTCTGTCGGTGATGAGTCCGATGCGGCCACGGAGGCGACAAAGGAAGTGCGGGTGCGCCTCACCGTCTGTGATGTTCCAGAGATAACGATATCGGCGAGCCGTTTCAGCTGCAACTTCTTCCTGGAGGCATCCTGGCTCGACGAGAGCATGAAAGATGAGGATGCGTTGGACGTTGGAGAGTGGGCTCCGCAATTTCCTGTCAAGGGCCAGTCAACACATGGCCGGTGGATCCCGATGCTTCATTTTTACAATGTTCTGGAGCTCAAGGATAAGGAGGACTGGTATGTTGTCTACAAACGAGACCGCGAGGGCATGGAACTCCTGCCGACTCCTGTGGTCTGCTACCGCATGAGGGCCACTGGCGTATTTCGCGAAAGGTTCGAGCTGTACGAGTTTCCATTTGATTCGCAGGACCTGCAAATACAAATCGTGTCATTGCATCCATGTGTCGACCTGCTCGCGCAAGAAGAGCATCTGTCTGGGAAGATGAACATTGTTCTGAAGATGAATCACACTGATGAGTACGCATGCGTTGCTCCTGGAGATGATAAAGACAGGTTCACTTTGTACGACGAGTACATCATCCAAAATTTTGTCCGTGAGGAGAACGAGAGAACTTTAGCTGACCATTCAACGACGAGGAAGACGTACCCTTTGCTGACACTCTACCTTAAGGTGACGCGACGGCCGGGATTCTACCTCTGGCAGGTGTATTTTCCGATGTGGATGTTGGTGGTCCTTGCATTTTCTGTTTTGCTACTCCCAGTCAACGACTTCGGAAACCGCTTGAGCTATCTGTCGACCCTTCTGCTTGCTGCAATTGCGTACAAGAATTGGATAGGAGATGCCTTGCCCAAGTGTTCGTACCTAACTTTTCTTGACAAGTACGTGCTTTTCTCCATTGGTGTTATTTTCGTTACCACGATAGAGAGTGCCATCGTTTTTTGGTTGTGGAAGCACATGTCTGGTCCTGAGGACTTCGCCCCAGAGGACTTCACCAAAGAGGACTGACCAGCGAGAGCTGAACTTGGGCACATGTCGGTCTTCGACCCATTGACGTGACGCCGAAGCTAAGGTTGTACATTCACATTGGCCGCGCATTGCATGACAACGTTTGCCCACATTCGGCGACTGCGCCACCACCCGTGGAGACAGACGTTGTTCCCGCCAGGTGACGCAGGAGTTGCACTGGGAGGTTGCTCGTCCAACCCTGCAAGCACCGTCATGGTTTGCACCCAATACCACCCCAGGCTGGCGGAATGGGCCAAGACACCGCCCCAGGACCGTTCAAGATGGCCCGAGGGCGGGAGCAGGAGGGGTCCTCCTCCTCCTCCTCCTCCTCCTCCTCCTCCTCCTCCTCCTCCTCCTCCTCCTCCTCCCCCTTCGTTCGTCCTACCCCCCTCCTCCTGGCGCCGGGGGGGAACGCCCGGATCCAGTGGCCCCGAATCTGGAGCAGGAGGCCCCCAGGAGGCCCCCGAGAGGCCTCCAGGACCCCCCGGAGGCCCCCCACGGGCCCCAGATTCCGGAGGGGCCCCCAGACAGTTTCCCTCGAGGCTCCCGAGCACAGTCCGCGAGAGCTCCTCCGAGAGCCGTGCCCCGAGAGTTTCCAAAGAGGGTCAGATCGTTGATTGCCATTTGTTTTTTCACGGCTTTTGGCCTTCTCACGTTTTCGAGCTGACAACGTTCCGAGACACCGAAGAGGCCCCCTAAGACCGCCCCAAGACGGCCGACGAGGCCCCCAAGAGAGCCCAAGACGGCCCCGGGGAGACTCAAGATTGCCCAAGAGGCGCCCAAGACGGCCCAAGAGCGCCCCAGGACCGTGCAAAGTGGGCCCGAGAGCGGGAGCAGGAGGCCCGAACAGGTATCTGACAAGCCTCCAGGACCCCCCAGAGGCCCCCAACAAGCCCCAGACCCCTGACAGTCCTTCAAAAAAGCCCCACGAGGTCCCCACGATAGTTCAAGAGAGCTCCGAATGACGTCCCGAGAGGGCCCGAAGAGGCTTTTCTTTCGACTATGTCTAGTATATATATATATATATATATATATATATATGTATTTGTACATTGACATGTGTGTATACATGTGTATATATATGTATATATATATATAGATATATATGTACATGTGTGTATACATATGTATATGTATGTTTGTACATGAGCACCAACATAACATTTTACACATAGATGTATGCAAGCACGCCGTGTATGTATGTATGTATGTATGTATGTATGTATGTATGTATGTATGTATGTATGTATGTATATATATAAGATATATATAATATAATATATATATATATATAATATATATTATATATATATATATGTCCCTAGGGGGCGTGGACGGGGCCCCGGGACAGGTGGCCTCCACCCATGCGGGGGACTGGGTCATATTTCTTGTGTTTTTACAGCGGTATTCCGCGTAATGGCATCGGAGGGCGCACGCCTCCGACCCCCATGGGGCCAAGGAGGGCCTAACAGAGGCTCCAAGCCGGCCAAGCGGGCCCGAAGTCGCCGGAAGACCGCTCCAGACGCCCAAGAGATAGTGCCCAAGGACGGCCCGAAGAGACGTGCCCACAAGGCACTCCTCGACGTTAAGGAAGCCTCTCACCGCGCGCTTTCCGAGCCGAAATAGCAGCGTTCACGAAGGTTTTCGAACCATTTTGGCCTTCCAGCTTTTCGGCTGTCCGACGTTCCAGGACGGCTCAATAGGCTCCCAAGAGCGCCCCAAGACGGCCCAAGAGGGCTCCAAGACGGCCCCAGAGTCGCCCAAGACAGCCCAACAGAGCCCCAAGACGGCCCCAAGATGCGCCCAAGAGGGGGACCACGACTCCCAAATTCGACCCTCCGGCTTGAAGAGTGCCCCAGGAGGCCCCAAGGAGCCCCCAAGAGGCCCCAGGATGCCCCCAACAGGCACCCAGGAGGCCCAAACGAGGCCTACAGAGGCCACAAAACAGCCCCGAGGAGGCCCCACAACGGTCCCAAAACGGCTACCGAGAAGCTGCGAAACTGCCTTCACGACGTCACCGACAGGCCAACCACGAGATCCAAAGCAACACCCATGAGGCCTCTGACCCACCAGCCAGGGCACGGTGGCGGCAACAGTGACAGCACTTGTGCACAGCATGTTCCCGCGGAGCCTTCCGGAACACGCTGCAGGAGGAGGAGGAAGATCAGGAGGAGAGAGAGCTGGAGTGGGAGGAGGAGGAGGGGGACGAGGAGGAGGAAGAGGCCTCCCAGACAGCTCCAAGATAGCCGAAGAGGCTTCCAAGAGGGCCCTGGGCGGCCCACGAGGGTCCCAAGGCGGTGCCTGAGGCGCCCAAGACGTCCCGAGAGGGCCCCAAGACGGCCCCAAGAGAGGCCCAAGAAGGGAAACACGAACCGAGAATCCGAGCTTTCTACCCCGAGAGGTTCTCGGGAAGTCCCAAGAGGCCCAATCGGATCCAAGAGGCCCCCAAGAAGCTCCCAAGAGGGCCGACGAGGTTCCAAGAGATCTCCCAAGGTGGCCCCAAGAGGCACAACTCATTGTTTTACGATTGGGCTTTGACGGTTTTTTCCTGCCTTTTGGCATCCCGATGCTCCAAGACGGCCCAAGAGGCTTCCAATACCGCTCCCATATAGAGGAAGAGGCCTCCAAGAGGGCCCCAAGACGGCCCGCGAGGGCCCCAAAACGGTGCTTGAGGCGCCCAAGGCGGCCCGAGAGGGCCCCAAGAGCCCCAAGAGAGGCCCAAGAAGGGGAACGCACTTTAAACGGAGAAGGTTAAAGGCGAGGTATAAATCGAGCATGTACCGCTGCCGTGCCTGGCTCAAGCCGGGCCCGGCCTGATATGTGACTGTGCCTCACTGAGGCGCACTACTTGCATCTGAGATCGGAAAACATCCTTTCCATTGACGATGCCCATCCTACTCTATACTCCAGATCCCATGCTTCGTCTCGCTCTCTTGCTCATGCGATATGAGCCAAAGCCTGGGATATGGAAGCGCCTAAGGCGGACTGTATACCTAAGCTTACCAGCTTGTTTTCGACTTGGTAGCGGAGCTGGCTACACTCTCGTGTGGCTGGCTCTCGCTCTGATTCCTGTAATCCACGGCACAACTTGGTGGACTACTACTACGTTGGAATACCATGTTGCGCCGGCTCTGCGAGGAGCGGAGCCAGTCCGCGATCGAGCTAGCGGGGCAACCCGCGAACTCGAGACGCTCTCTCCTACTTCACTGCGCTACTTCACTCCCGACTTCCACCAGATGCCAATCGGCAACTCGATCGAGAACGTGGTCACCCTGCGGGGCTACCCGCAGCGGGGCACCTGCATCCCGTGCCGGTCAGGCGCCTCACGGCTACCACGCCAGAGCCTGACAAACCACAGCCCAAACCAATCACCGAAGCCGAAATGCACATGCATTGGATCAGATAACCTATTTTTTGATTTTGTTTCTATTATTATAGCTTTTTTATATTTTTTTTGTATTTATTCTCTTATTTATTTATATTATTTTTTTTATTTATTATTTTATTTTTTTTTTATTATTTATTTCTATTATTTTATATTTAATTTTATATTATATTATTTTCTTTTTTATTTTTTATATATTTTTTATTCTTTATATTTTTTTTTCTTTTATGATTATTTTATTTTTTCTTTTATTATTTTATATTTTATTTGTATTTTATTTTATTTATTTTTTATTCTCTTAGGTTCGGCATTCTGTGGGTAATAATGGGATGTGCTGTGGGATACATGCGGCAGGGGAAGGACGACACGCGTACTACTGGCCCTTCATGGGACCCTGCCGGTACTACGCCTTTTCGCGAATACGTTCGCGAAGTACATGCATGGTTAAACGTAACGAGCGGCAATATGACACCACCACAACAAGCTGCAGCACTACAACGAGGCCTTCAGGGTCTGGCTCGTCGTATCGCCATGCAGGTCCCCTCCCAGATCATCAATTATGGAGTAACTGTCAATGGACAGCCAACGGATGCAGTAACCTACATACTGTACTTACTGAGCACCAAATTTGAAAATCTGGAAGATGAGCGCCAGCTCAACTCTGGCACGGCCATTATCGACTTCCGCGTCGAAAGGGGCGAGCGAATCGACTCAGTATTAGCTCGATTCGAGATGGCCCGTGACGAGGCTAACTCTGTTGGCTTTGTCATCCCCAACTTTCAGATCCTAACGCTGATTCTCTTCAGAGCGTTAGGCGTTGGCGCGTCACGAGACCAACACCTGCTTGAGCCCTTTAATCATCAGATGCCCCGAACACAAGCAGACTATGACAGGCTGCTGACCAGGATGAGGAACTACGGACATGTTGCCGAGCGCTCTCCTGGCAACATAGCGGGAATCTTCACAGGGCACCACTCACATGCAGGTGTCTACGCCACGACTGCGGGGTCACCCGCTGGTCCTGGCGAGCCAAATCCCTGGGCTGACCCAGCCGATATGCCAAACGAGGCCACTGCCCTTCTAGGGCAGACCGGCCAGGCATCGGCAGAGGCAGCTGAGGCGAACGCCTGGTCGAACTACTCGCCAGGCGCCGCCTACACTGCAAGCCCGCCCTCGGGCACAACCCTCTGGGGCCAAGCGGAGTCATCCGCTCAAGGGTCTCAGCCACCCTCACCGTTTGAATCTGGCACTGACACAGATACTTCATCTGACGATGAGCACAATGGAATAGTCTCTGCTGGTAATGACTATCCAGCGGACGACGCTCACCTTTCTGAACAGCAAAGGGCGGAAGCCGCCTTTATGGCTTATCGCAAATCAAAACGCCGTTGGAGGCGCTTTATGAAGAAACCAGTCAGAAAAGTGAGACGTGCAGTACGCCGACATTTCAAACAATTTGGAAAGGGTCGTGGTAAAGGGGGTCGCAGACGCCGTATGCAGGGTAGGGGTATTACTGCTTTCCTCACGTCCTTAACTGATATGGCTTTTGAAGAAGTTCTTATCGGAGGCAAAGGTCGGGGCCACAGGCGGACCTCCGGTAAGGGAAAGGGTCGGAGGGGCAACCCTAGGGACGCTTCTGGTAATACTATGAAGTGTCATACATGCGGTAGCACAGAGCATTTGCGCGATCAATGCCCGAAGGGGAAAGGAAAGGGATCCGTACACTTGGCTCAAAATTCTTTTATGGATGACATAGATTACATTGACCACGAGTTTTACGTCAATCCAGAAGCGGCTCCCGCTGCGGGCTCCTCCACGTATTACGTGATGGCCCGCTATGCTGAAGCAACTGTGGCCCTGGAAGACTACGCAGTGACCCTCTTCGACGA